AGTAATTATGCATAATATTATATTTTTTGTACTTCGATACGGTTAGGGTTAATTAGGTAAAAAAGGTTATACAGAAAAATACATGATTAATCGTTTTATAATTTTAATATTTGTTTGATTTGTCAATATATACCTATCGATATAGCAATAGTACAAAAGAGTTCAGCTTCAGAGCTTAAAGAATCTTCTATACAAATTTGGTAGTTATTTGAATTTTTTTCAATAAAACATAGCACATTATTATTAAAATATATTATTTAAAAAAAAATAGCTTATACGAGCGTATTGTACGTCATAGTTCTTATTTTTGTTTATCACACTAAAAAAAAATATATATATATATATATATACCAAAACAATATATTATACAGAAACGAAAAATGTACTGGTAAATAGATAAAAAATCTACTTGCCTAGAGGCGACAAATGTTTAAATCGACCTTTTGGCAGGCGTTGTACCATTCACATTTTTAACATCTTTCATAAAACCATTTCTTATTAATCGTTTAAACATCTTTGGTGACATAGGCGTATCTAGAATTCATTATGAAAGTATTTACATTAAAGCTATAGCCGCAAAATGCACCTATTACCTGTTTACAAACAATTCTATATGCGGAGCGATGATGCTATTGGTTTTACAATGATGTGGACATTTTTTTGTGTCGGTATACACTGTAACTTTTTCAATCTGGACCAATTCTATCGAGTAGCAACTCTATAAATCACAGATTTTATCTAGTTAATACTTTCTAGGGGTAAAATTTGAAAAAGTTCACTTTTTCACAGTAAAATATTTTTTAAAAAATCATAAAAAATTTATAAATAAATAGTTTAAAAGTTTCAACTTTTACTGGCTGTAAGATCGAAAAAAAGATTTGGATCGAGTGGAAATTTCTAAGGAATATTTATTTAGTACGCCCATATACACTGATAGTCTTAAACTTACTCTATTAAAGGTGTACCAAATGTGAGAAAAGAAAAATGTATTATTATTAACGCCATGTGAAATGTAATCATTTGTTAAAATGGATGGTTTATTATGTAATACCGTGGAATTATAATTTTCAAAAAATAAAATTAAGTCAGCAAATCAGCTAAATTTTCGTAAAAATGTTATAGGTCAATATTAACCCTTCAATGCGCCATGTTGCTTATTTGCAACAATCTTTTTTTCCTTTTTCTTTATTTAATTTGTTATTTTTCATCTTACTAGTGCTAACTAGCGGATAAATCGAGAAGTTTTTGATATTAAAAAATATGTCAGATCAGCTGATAGTTCCGTTATCAGCCGCAACTGTTGTTTAAAAATGAGTAAAACTAAATCAATATTTTCCCTGGTTTCTCTTAATTTAAAAGTATTATAAGTTAATTAATATTTGCATATTTAATAAAAAAAAAATTGTTTTGGTTTGTAATAAATAAATAAGACTTGTAATATAAAAGAATGTGAATGACACGTGTAATATACAACATACTTTTTCATAATTTTCTTTTACAATAAATTGAATGTTGTTATATATAAATAGCTGTTTTTGGGAAATCCAAAAAAATTGGAGAATAACACTGACCAAATCGAATCCACCATAATACTAAAAATACAAGTTAGGGCACATAATAATTGTGATTAAAACTGGAATGTTTATTTGAGAGTCATTCTATCTATACATATATCGTTTTAAAATTATAATTACTAACTATAATAATTATATATACAAAAGCGGATATCCAAAATGAAGATGACATATATACTAATGTATATAACATACATATTTTGTTGGATACTAGCAAACAAACATGGTTTTACTTAACACCAAAAATATATTTCAAACTAAGTACCTATACCAAACCATGTAACTTTTAATATAGTCCCAAATGGCTAATTTAACATCAACATATTCTTATTTAAAATTTTTTTTACAAGCTCAACCAAGATAAGCTTTTGGTATGTCATACAATTTTAACGTTTGAATCAACGTTTTTTGTAGTTATAAATAATATAATATAAATATTATTTAAATTTTTTAAAAGAATGTCAGGAATTGAAATCCGCTTAAAGGTAGAGGCGTCTAAATGTGTAGTAAACAGGTAGAAAAATAATGTGCTCAAGTATTGTTCAAATAATAAAAAAAAACATGATTTCTCACTGACCGCAAAAAATATATTGACTTGAAAAACAACAGAAATTTTAATGTTGCCTACACATTTTATAAAAGCCATACCTATTCAAACTTAAAATATATGATGGTGACCTAAATACGAATTTATAGTATTGAAAATAAAAAAACAACAAACATATTTTGTACTAGTACACATTTTATTGTAGCGAAACCAAATTATCGGATTTTTTATACTATAGGAATGCTTCTTGATAGGATACTATCAAATTAACATGTTTTAAACACGAAAAATATATTTCAAACTATGTACCTATACCAAACCATGTAATTTTTTATATCGTCTGAAATAGCTAAATTTACTTCAACATGTTCTTGTTTAACTTTGTATTACAAGCTCAACCTCAGTTAAGCTATCAGTATGTCATACAATTTTAACGTTTTAATCATATTTTTTTGTAGGTAAAAACTATAATGTAAATTTTATTAAAATGTTTTAAAAGACTGTTAGGAATTGAAATCTTCTTGGGATAGGGGCGTCTTAAAAATCTAAAGGTTTAGTAAATAAGTAGAAAAATAATGTGCATAAGTATTGTTCAAATAATAAAAAAACATGTTTACTTACAGTACGCAAAAAATATATCGGTTTAAAAAAACAACAGAAAATATTATTTTGCCTACACATTTTATAAAAGCCATACCATATTATGTTGATGTTATTTTAGTGTTTATTTTCAAATATGAGCCCTGAACTACGTATAGTAAAGCAAAATAAATAAAAACACTACCTTTATATGATTTATAATAAATAATAGTAAAAATATTCCACAACAAAAACCAAACCTTGACCAAAAATTCCAGACCGTTCCCAAACAAGTCAGCCTATTAAAATAGTGACATCTAAATTGTAACCAAGTCTAGTCTTCCTTTAGTCCATAACCTTACTACACTCCTACTTTCATGAACAACACTGCTCTTAAATGTTTATTGCATAACATAGAAAAGTGCTTCCTGGCCCGACCCGTTACAAAGATTCCATTTTCACACAAGTCTAAAGCTTCGGATGTTGATGACTGCATATTTTTTTTTAAGTGAAATCAAATATAATTTCAATCCAAAAATATATTTGTCAATAATGTTTATTTCTAGGTATAGTAGCATATTCGTAAGTATAATAAATAAAAATATTTTATTGCGTTTACGAGTATGAGCTAAAGCTTATATACACAATATGAGGAAAAGTATTAAACGAAAATCCTGTATATAAAATTATACTGTCCAAAATTTCTTAAATAATCGTCATTGTTCTTTTAAATTTGAAAACACCATCAAAATAATTGTAACTCAATGTTGTCCTGATACATGAAATACCTTTTTAAATAATTATCCTGTATAAAATGTTATTTAAATTGTGTCAAGTCGGCTAACATTTTCAGCCAATTTCAATAAAAGTATATAATTGCATATTGAGGACATTTTTTTAAGTATAAGTAAATGACATGAACATTTTGAAAAACCTTAAGTAAGCATTTAGTAGCAATATTAAACAATGAGTATTATAGCCTGGTAACTGTATCATTGTATGTCAATTGAATCATTTTTTCAACCATCAGTATTTTTTTGTTTATTATGTAATACCGTGGAATTATATTTTTCAAAAAATAAACTTAAGTCAGTAAATCAGCTAAATTTTCGTAAAAATGTTATAGGTCAATATTAATTTATTGTATCTTTCATATAGTTTCACCAGTACAATACCAAAGTACTATTCAATGATATTATTATGTTAAAACCTTGCTTCATTCTTTTTGAAAAACTACAGAAAAAAAAAAATCAAGTATTCCTAACTTTTTGGTGTATAAAGGCAAAAAATAAAATTACAATAGACGGTTTTGTAAACAAATATTAGATACATTTTTTGGGTTTTTCAAACGGCAAAACAACAACTGTTCTTTATGGTTAACATATTTTAAAATTCAATGTAAATTTTAAACGTTTATTGAACAAACAAAATATATATGTGTTTATTCGGCTTTACACTGAAATCGCTATAACAGAAGCCACCAAAAAGAATAAGAATCATTAAAGTTTTAAATTCCTGCAAAGCTTCAAGACGTGTCTAACGTGTTCCGATCATAATGCATTTTAAATATGCTGGTATATTCTTTTTATACTTTTTTTATTATTATCAACTAGCAAACGCAACAGATCAACCAAATGAAGTATTTAATTATGAGGTAATTAAATTATTATTGATCTCATATCTAAACGTATGATTCATTAAAAAAAAAAAAAATAATAATAATAATAAGTAAATATTCTATACGCCTAATGAATAATACACTAGTAATAATTCGAAGCACATAATTGCTGTAATAATAATGTTCACATTGTGTATTAAAAATAAAAATTTAATGATTTTAGAATGTGGGTATAATGTATGATGAGGTACTTCTTGCGGATCAAGAGGCCAGATCACAATGTTCCAAGTTTTCTGAGCTTTTGCTAAAACATATTAAATTTTTGAATAGAGGAAAAGTTACCAGAGATGGAATAAGACAATACTTATATGACAACATAAAATATGCATTAAGTGACTACCAAGTGGATGACCTTACAGAACACTTGCCGGCGAGTACGTTAAATAATAATAATTCAGTAATACAAATTATTAAATATATATAAGTGAAATATCAATAACTAATAATCACTTGTAAGTAATAATCATAACTGATATTTTACATAAATTATTATTCGTAACAAAATTAGCCAAATGTTGTACATAAAAACGCAGTTATAATAATTGCAACCAGTCAACAAGTTACAACATAATATACCTATTTTGGTGAATTTTAACGTGAATACTTGTATAATGTTTTCTAGAGGGCCATATAACAAAAGAAGAATTAAGAGATTTGTTTAGTGTTCAATAAGGACGCTACAACACCAGCAGGTGGTGGATTTAAAAATGTAACGCCTCTAGGCAAGTAATATTTTTTTACCCTTTTATCAGTTCATTGTAAGTACTGGTACATGAATTATTATCGTATGATAAATTTATTTCTATATTAATATTTCAGAGCCACAAAATTACAACAACGTCCTATCGTCGTTCACTTTAGTTAAAAATCCGAAATATTTCAAATATTTAATTTATATCTATTAAAAAAAAAAAAAAATCAAAATTTTATGCTGTTGCTAGCTTATTTTTAAGTTGTGTGTATTAATTCTTAAAATTCTAAGAGTGTGTGGGTTATTTTTGTTTTAATTGATTATAGTATTAATTGTGTGATTTGTAAATGTTTTATTTAAACATTTAAACTCCATAAAAATGTTAAATATCTATTTTTCTGCAGAATAAAATTATAATTCACCTTAGCTGCTCCAGTGACTTTGTTTTTGATAATATAAAACGTAGATTGTTGTATTTTCTATCTAATATTTACATTAAGACACAATATTTTTCTATGAAATTGTCCTAATGTAAACATTAATTAATATGAATACAATAAAAAAAAAGTATTAACTGGAATACAGCACATACGTAGGTAAAAAACTATTTGTTTAAATATTATTGTTGTATTGTATACAAAATTGGTATTTTCTAAAATATTCGTAAAAAATGTGTGATGTTAACAGTTGTGCTACATTTTTGGAAAATCCAAAACAATTGGAGAATAACACTGACCAAATCGTATTCACCATAATACTAAAAATACAAGTTAGGGCACATAATAATTGTGATTAAAACTGGAATGTTTATTTGAGAGTCATTCTATCTATACATATATCGTTTTAAAATTATAATTACTAACTATAATAATTATATATACAAAAGCGGATATCCAAAATGAAGATGACATATATACTAATGTATATAACATACATATTTTGTTGGATACTAGCAAACAAACATGGTTTTACTTAACACCAAAAATATATTTCAAACTAAGTACCTATACCAAACCATGTAACTTTTAATATAGTCCCAAATGGCTAATTTAACATCAACATATTCTTATTTAAAATTTTTTTTACAAGCTCAACCAAGATAAGCTTTTGGTATGTCATACAATTTTAACGTTTGAATCAACGTTTTTTGTAGTTATAAATAATATAATATAAATATTATTTAAATTTTTTAAAAGAATGTCAGGAATTGAAATCCGCTTAAAGATAGAGGCGTCTAAATGTGTAGTAAATAGGTAGAAAAATAATGTGCTCAAGTATTGATCAAATAATAAAAAAAACATGATTTCTCACTGACCGAAAAAAATATATTGACTTGAAAAACAACAGAAATTTTAATGTTGCCTACACATTTTATAAAAGCCATACCTATTCAAACTCAAAATATATGATGGTGACCTAAATACGAATTTGTAGTATTGAAAATAAAAAAAACAACAAACATATTTTGTATTATCGGATTTTTTATACTATAGGAATGCTTCTTGATAGGATACTATCAAATTAACATGTTTTAAACACCAAAAATATATTTCAAACTATGTACCTATACCAAACCATGTAATTTTTTATATCGTCCGAAATAGCTAAATTTACTTCAACATGTTCTTGTTTAACTTTGTTTTACAAGCTCAACCTCAGTTATGCTATCAGTATGTCATACAATTTTAACGTTTTAATCATATTTTTTTGTAGGTAAAAATTATAATGTAAATTTTATTAAAATGTTTTAAAAGACTGTCAGGAATTGAAATCTTCTTGGGATAGGGGCGTCTTAAAAATCTAAAGGTTTAGTAAATAAGTAGAAAAATAATGTGCATAAGTATTGTTCAAATAATAAGAAAACATGTTTACTTACAGTACTCAAAAAATATATCGGTTTAAAAAAACAACAGAAAATATTATTTTGCCTACACATTTTATAAAAGACATACCATATTATTTGATTTGAATATACGAGTTAATATAAAGGAAAGGTCGTGATTTTCAATGGGTAATAACCGAAACAACCTATTACTTGAAACAATATGGGAAGAGATCACAAAGTATAAAAACCCTAAAGAAAAAAGAATATCAATAACCAGTAACACAAGGTAGTTATTTTTAAATTATCCACTCAATGTTTCTACCCCACTATACCCCGACGGCCCGAACCCACTGTACTGTATTTTTTTGTTATATTCTAGGTGTGATTCAAAACAACATCCTTTTTTTTTATATTAGCTTACCGCTAAGTTTAAAAGATACATATGTTTTAAGGTAAAATATTCAGTTGTTTTGTTTCGTTATTTGTATTTTTATACTACATACTAGGCTGTAGCCATTTAGAACTTGTTTTTATAATTAGGTCAAAACACAGATGTTTTTTTAGTGTTTATTTTCAGATTTTTTCGCTGTACCACGTATAGTAAAGCATAATAAATAAGAACAACTCCTTCTAAAAGTTATAATAAATAATAGCAATAATATTACACAACAAAAAACCAAACCAAGCCTATCAAAGTAGTGACACATCTAGATTGTAATTAAGTCTGCTCATTCTTTAATATATAACCTTACTACACTCCTACTTTCATGAACAACAGTGCTCTTAAATATGTATTGCATAACATTTGGCCAGTTTCTACAAAAGGCATAAAACATAGACAAGTGCTTCCTAGCCGGACCAGCTACAAAGATTCCACACCGGTATACTGAGTATACCTAATCGTTAGTTGCACTTGCGAAATATTATTTTCTGAAATCGAAATAACCGCCTAACTATAAAAACTGAGCTTTAAATAGCAATAAAAAACGTCCAGGTACACATATGACCTTGAAATTTTATATTATGTCTGAGAAACATATTAAAATCAATAATTAATAATTGTTTTTAATTTTTTTGGCATATTTAATAATAGGACTTTCGAGGGCCTAAAATTCACTCTCGGACCACTGTGCGGCGGTTGGGTCAACAATGCGGCGGCTAATTTTGTTCACAGAAATCCGGGCCGAAATCCCTTCTATTATTATGTAGGTGAATTTAAAACATTAAATTACATTGAAAGACGGTTTTGTAAACAAGTAATAGGTACATTTTTTGGGTATGTCAAACGGCAAAATAACAACTGTTCTTTATGATTAACATTTTTTTTAATTCAGTATGAATTTTCCACGTGTATCGAACAAACAAAATATGTATAAATGTGTTAGTTTGATCAATTTTAATGTGAATACTTTTATAATGATTTCTAGTGGCTATAACAAAAGAGCAATTAAAAGGTTTTATACATAAACATCATAACGACCGGTGGTGCATCGTCTAAATTTACCGCGACTAGGCAAGTAATATTTTCATCCTTTTAACAGTACATTGTTTGTACTGGTATATATTGTATTAAAATCGCATTGTAAATTTATTTTTATATCAATATTTCAGGGCTACAAAATAATAACAGCATCCTATCTTCATTCGCTTTAGTCAAAAAGTCAAAAGTTTTAAAGCATTTAATTAATGTCTATTTAGAAGAAAATCAAGATTTAATGCTGTTGTTAGCTTGTTTATAAATTGTGTGTATTAGTTTTTAAAATTCTAAAGGGTGTGTGGGTTGTTTTTGTTTTAATTGATCATTATTGTATTAACTGTGTGATTTTTAAATGTTTTATTTAAACATTCAAACTTCATAAAAATGTTAAATATCTCGTTTTCTGCTGAATAAAATTATAAAATCACCTTAGCTGTCATTACGTTGTTTTTGATAATAATAAATATAGAATATATATATACTAGATGCCCGTGAACCCGGCTTCACACGGGTTAAGAAATACAATTGTAACATAGTACTCACAAATTATACAAATTATTAGTTTATATTAATAAGATTTAATTAAGCGCTATTCGGTGCACAATATTTTTGATTAATCTGTCTTGCTAACACAAATACATTGGATTGGGAGAAATAGGAGAAACATGGATTTTTCAAGTCCAAACCGCAATTGGACATTGTTTTTCCGTGAGACATATTTATGGTCATCGCGAAAGCCAAATGAATAGGAAATTGAAGTCTTTTGAATGGTGTTGGAGATACCGACGATATCGCTGGTGTGTGTATCCAGAGAATATAAAAATTCAGTTGGAAAATTTACGGTTTCGTTTTCATCAACAATAGGTTCGATTGATTTTAAAGACATCAGATCACCTGGTGTTCAAGCCATCCAGTAGCGCACCTCCACAACTGGTCATGCTAGTCATACTATTTCCGAAGCACGGCAGTTTCCTGAGGTCCAGGAGAAGGGAGAAGGAAGAGACAACCCGTAGTTAAATTTAATATTGTTTTTTTGTTTGTATACATTTGTAACTGGACAGCAACGCCTGTCCAGGTAGGTAAGGTCGCCAACAATATATTAAATCTAGAACGTTATAAAAACTAGACTATTTTTTTTTCTATAGTGCCTATTTGTTGCATGTAACGTGACCCTCGCCGTTAGGGAGTCAGCCGTCGTCGCCGACCGTACTTACAGGAGCGAGGCGGCAAACATTTTGGTAGCAGAGCGTGGTTCCTGTGAAATTAATATTGGCGTTTGGGTGATTAACTGGTGAGTGATTGTCACTTATGTTTTATTTGCATATTTATTATGAGTTTGGCATTGGCATAGTGTGACTAGCGCTTTGTAGGTTTGGGTCAATTATCATTTATATTGTCACCATATTATACATTTAGTAATTAAAGATAAGAAAGGTATTATCGTTAACCATTAGTAGGTAGGCCGTTGATATAAGAGGTTAATTAAGCTTCATTTATTTAAGCTTCATTTTTGTAAAGGGCATTTGTGTATAGTTGCATACCTTTGGTCCGTTAAGGCACACGTATATAACCATACGGATGTGACCATCGATATAGACAAAGACTAATGCAGGGGTCGACAATTAGTTTCTAAGGGGGTCCGGATAAATTAAAAAAAAAAAATTTCGAGGTCTAGAAAATACTTAAATATTAGTTCATACATTTATTTATTTTTGTATAAGAACACAGT